TGCTGTAGCAGCCATTCTTAACCACTACTAAAACAGGCTCTAGTCTGGACTGTAGTTTGGTAATTTATGACATTGAATGTTATGTGGGTAAGTCCTTTAAACCAAATTTCTCAGTTCCTTTCATGACTGCTTCAATTCTTCCTCCTGTCACATCAAAGTAACAGGAACGTGAACGTATCTGGGTTAGTGTGCGACTCTCACTGCCTGGTGTGTGCCACAGGATGTGTTAATACAGACAGTGTTGACTGCAGGGAGCAGTTACTGGCTCTAGTGACAATGCAGGGCTGGTGACATAAAACACTTTGTTCTCTTTGTACTTTGATATAGGGTCTTCCTGAGTTGCCTGGGCTGGCCTTGAACTTGTAATCCTCCTACCTCAGCCTCCCAAGTAGTTAGAATGACAGGCATGTGCCACCAAACCCAGTCTGTCAGGATTTTTAATTGAAATTCATTTATTGTGTGAGGCTACACCTTAGAGAACATTGTGGTGGTATCATCAGTATGTTGGATATCGACACTGAGTGGTTTTTTGTTTGCAGGAAAAGACCCGGGAACAGAAAGAGGTAGATCTGATTCCTAAAGTCCAGGAAGCTGTAAACTACGGTTTACAAGTACTGGACAGCGCGTTTGAGCAACTTGACATAAAAGCAGGGAACTCGGACTCTGAAGAAGATGATGTTAACGAGCGGGTGGAACTGATCCTTGAACCCAAGGTTAGCTCATTCAATTCAGGTGTTTTCCGCTACACCATACTTACTGCTGTGTTTTGGACACTTTACCTGGGCATAGAGTTGGTAAAGGCCAGACTTCACCTCTAGGAAGTGTGTGTGTCACTTAGTCCCATGGTGACCCTTTTGGAAGACTGGCTGAGCTCATGCGCTGGTGGAGCACAGGAGCATGCCAGGCTAGGGGCACAGAGACTCAGAGCCTGGTGGGAGGAAGGAGGCATTTACACCAGTAATGATCACAAGTGCTCAGAGGCTCAATTTCTAACTGGGATGTAAGGGCAAAGACAAGATCTGGGTTGGGGTGGGGGTTGTTCTTTTTTAAACTTAATTTTTTTTTTTTTTAAAGTTGTGTATATTTGTCTTGTGCAACATGTTTTAAAATAGGTATACATTGTGGAATACCTCCATCAGACTGACTTAGGGATGCCTCACACAGTTACTTGTGTGGTGATTTTCAAGAGTAGAATCTACTCTTGATCTCACTCCTCTAAGTGAAATTGAGTCCCTTCTACCCAACATCTCCCTAACCTCCCGCTCCTCTAGTTTGAATTCGGGTGAGAAGGACAGGGAGGCTCATGAGAGGTGTAGGGGGTGTTGGGAACCTGGGACTCTGAGCATGTGCTAAGGAAAGCTGCAGAGGGTTGAAATGCATTTGAGTTATTTCCAGTGGCTGGAACCAAAGCCCCTGTAAGCTTTCCTGTGTAGGCTTCCTGTTCACCTCACAGGTATGTACATGTGGCATATTCTTTCTCAAACTGCTAAAGGAGACAGTGAGCAGCACAGAATCACTCAGGAGTCACTGAAGAGATTGCCATATTAATTCTTGAGAGTCTGTGTGACCCCAAGTACTTTCTGGATTAGAGCATGAAACCCAACTCTTGTAGTTACTCATTTAGCTGCATAGTTCTCCCAACTTGAACTCCACAGTCATACCAAGTTGGTGTGGATCCTTATCACTGGCTTGTGTTCTCAGTCTGTGGGTTTAGAGGTCCGCAGCAGGTCCTAGGACATGTACTGCATGAAGCATCAGAATTGCTCTGTCCTGCACTTAGGGTGTTAAGAGAGGAATAGGTCAGCCTTTTCTCCTGCAGGGGAGGTAGGAGGTAGTCCTGGAGCAGGGTGGGGGTGACAGTGGCACTTTCTTGACCCTACACCTTTCATTGACATGTGATGGTGGAGGAGAGAGATGAAAGGATCTCCAGCACATACTACTGTGCACACCATTCCTCCATCCCATTCTGGGCCTTCATCATTTGCAGTACGACTTTTCTAGATCTGCAGTGTTAAGGCCTTGTGGGAGAGGGACAGTGTTACTGTACAGTTTCCTGGGCTGTTTCTCTTTGGAGTCCTGAACATTCAGTTTGCCCCTAGTCTGGGCAGATTCTCAGTTCCTTTCCTTGGTTCTCCTGTGGAACATTTTGCAGGGTGGTTATGCCCTTTTCTTTGTTTACCGCTGGCAAATTTCTTTTACAGGACTTTGCCATTTTTGTTGAAAAAGTATTTGGGAGGATTTAGCTTTACCTTGCTATCTTTACATAGGATCTGAAGGTTTTTTAAAATCAATGGTTTTTAGAATTGTTTCTTTATTTTACTCTCAATCTTCTGTTTCTTACTGTCCCCTTTCATTACGTAGCTTGTTTGAGGTAGTCAGACAAAGCAGGTGTCAAAAAAGATACTTGCCTTCCTTTTTTAACCAAAACAGTTAATGGCTGTTCACTTTTGTTCTTTGCAGGACCTGTACATTGACCGCCCCTTGCCCTACCTCATTGGCTCCAAGCTCTTCATGGAGCAGGAAGACGTAGGACTTGGCGAGCTCTCTAGTGAAGGTGCTTGTCTTAGTTACTTTGTGGTCACTGGAGTACAATACCTGACACCCACAACTGTAAGGAAGAGAAGTTTTATCCTGGCTCAGGGTTTGTGGAGGTTTCAGTCTATAGTTGGCCGGCTTCAAGGCAGGACAGCATGGCAGAGGGACACAGCAGAGGAGGGTTGCTTCTGACATGTCATTAGGGGGCAGAGGGCACTCAAGGGAGGAGGCAGGGCAGGGAGATGGGCTCTTCCAGGCGTTGCCCACAGTAATCCATCCCTTCCACCAGGCTTCATCTCCCATCATCACATTTATAGCTGTAAACTCACCCGTGTGCTAATCCACTAGAGAGTGTCATGCACTTGTGATCTGGTCACTTCCCAAAGCCCCACCCATGAGCGCATGAGGCTTTGGGGGACATCTAGATAAAAATGGTAACAGTGCTTATCTTCAGTAAATACAGTCTTGTTCCTTTTCACATTTAGAAAATAGTTTCAAACTATACTAACAATGCAGAAATAGTCCAGAGACCTCACGTATACTCTTCACCCAGATTTGCTACTTAACATTTCACTGCATACCTTGTGTTATTCTTGGTATTATTCTTGGTATGTGTACACAATGTTTTTTCAGAACTATTTGACGCAGCATGCCCAAGTACTCCTAAATAGTTCTCTGTGTATTTTCTAAGAAAAGGGGATTCTTTTGTCCACTATAGCCAGAGTGTAGTGCTCCTAACCAGGAAATTTTACTGGACTTAATAGCATAACGCTGTCCTCTCATCTCCAGTCAGATTTGAGTTTCGCCAGTTGTCCTCATGATGCCCTTTCTTATCTCCCTGCTTCCTCTGGTCCACATCTCAGCCCAGGTGTCGAATGTCTCTGTCATCATTTAGTTGACACAGTTGCTCAGTCTTCCTTTCTTCTCATGACCTTGACATCTTTAAAGAGCACAGGCCAGCTTTTTTTTTTTTTTTTCAATTCTTTGTAATGAATAATTTTTTAATTATATAGAAAGATGCTTTGAGACTCTATGCATATCTGGTCCCTCCCTGTAATGGTATTTTTAATTCCCGTAAGTAGATATATATGGTTTTATCAGAGCCTCTGTAATCCTGTTGTGTGGTGCTGTGTGACTTAGAAGGCACTCAGAATGTTCTCTGGTGGATATTGGTGCTCACCCTTTCCCTCTTCTCACAGAAGGCTCCGTGGGCAGTGATCGGGGCAGCATTGTGGACAGTGAGGAAGAGAAGGAGGAAGAGGTAAGGACTTTGTTCTAAGTCTTGGTGTGGGTAAGCAGGAAGTGTAAGTGTTCAGCTAATGAAGTCCCTATTTGTGAGTTAGCCGTCTGATTTCATAAAACTTTTAACAAAAGTGAAAGCCACAATCTGAAGCTTTTTCCTTAGTGTTAGATTTTCTCTTTTTCTTGTATACAGAAACAAGGAAAACTGATCCAGTGTCCTTAAGGGTTGGCTTCCTCTTATCTCGCCAGTGAAGCCCATCTTTTCCCAGCACAGTTAAGAAGCAGCTTAGATCTCTGCCCATAATCATAATCTTTGAGTAGATTCTATCTCTGAATGGCCCTGTGGAAAAAATGTCTGCATCTAACACATGTTTACTATAAAACTAGACCAGAAGCTGTACAAACCATCACTGCCACTTGAAACATGTTCATGTCCACAGAGCATAATCTGGCTGTCCAGCCCTTAGAGAAGGCATTTTGAAGGTCAAAGGTACCATGAGGAGTGGCCCTTGAGTATTAGGGTTCTGAGAGGAGATGGATTTGTGTGTTCCACTCTCCTCATGTGTCCTGCTGTCTACAGTCCCCTCTGCTGCCTGCCTTCCTGCAGCTCCCAAGCAGAAGTCTTAGAATAGGAAATGAACTTTCCTTTGGTAACTGTGCCAAACCTAGTCGCTCACTGCCTCCTCTGTTTTTAGCCATCAGTGTCACTCTTTACCAAATTGGTGGTAGAAAATACCAGTGTTCCCTTGGGTCTGATGAAGCAGTTATCTTACATAGAGGAAGTACAGAAAGTAAAGTCCAGAATGTGAAATAATACAACTGATTTGCCAGGCGTGGTGGTGCATGCTTGTAATTCCAGCATTCAGGAGGCTGTAGCAGGAGGATTGCCACAAATTTGAGGCCAGCCTGGGCTGCATAGTGAGACCCTATCTCAAAGAAAAGAAAAGAAAAACTGATGTAATTAAATGTGAAGCTCTTACTTTGAATTCAGAAGTCAGAATCAAAAGTGCAGCTGTCATAAAAAAAATAGAGGTGTTATGGGCAGCAGAAGTCATGTGCCAGCTGTGACAAAGGTCACACCAGCTATCCACCTTGTCCACATCTCTGTCCTTGAGGTGACCTGTGGTCTGTGCCACAGACTGAGTGTCAGAGGTCTTCCTCTACATGACAGCATCAGCTTGCCCAGAGACTTAGACCTGAAGTCATCTCTGCTGAATAGAGCCTGTGCTAACCGAGCCATCTTCCCACCTTAGGAGTCGGATGATGATTTTGCCAATCAGAGTGACAACGATCAAAACAAGGTGAGGCCCATGTGTTGAAGTGACTTTATTTTCTTTTTTTTTACATTTATTTTAAAAATAAAAGAAGGAAAACATATTAACAAACAGACATCCATTTACAAATTAGCTTAGGAACAATACAAGCAATACAGAGTTACAGACAAAGTGGAAACAATGGTTGTTGTATTATATTGATATCTTCAAAGTGGTTTCTCAGGAAAACAAATAGAGACATGCAAGATTGATCAAATAATTAATCATTAACTGTTCCTTTCAGTAAAGTGATAGAAGGTGACTTTATTTTTCTTAAGTTTTAATTGCAGCATGACAAACATACCAAAATCACTTCTGAGTGACTTATGGCAAAATGAGGATTTTCTTACGTTTAGAACTAATTTTCCCTTAGGAACGTCACATATTTAAGACTACCCTCCTTTTTTTTTTTTTCTAATCATACTTTTTTTTTTTTTTTTTTTTTTTTTGGTGTTTTTGAGACAAGGTCTCGCTGTGTAGTTCAGGTGGCCTGGAGCTCACTTTGTAGCCCTGGCTGGTCACAAACTCACAACAGTACTCCTGCCTCAGCCTCCCGAGTGCTGGGATTACAAGCATGAGCAACTGCACCTAGCACCAATTTCTTTATATTTTGTCATTTTTTTTCTTAAAAAAAAAAAAATGGGAAAACAGACCTATAAAAGAGTGCCCAGTTACCCAAACTGAACTATTTCATATGAATCCTCTCTCTCTTGTTTTACAGTTTGAGACACTGTAGGGCTGGAAATGTAGAGCGCTTGCCTGGCATGTAAAGGGCCCCTGGGTTCTATCCCCAGTACCACGAAGGGAGAAAAAAGATTGGGACTGTAGAGAGAAACCTCCTGCTTTCTTAGCGTGCTCTTAGTTTTTGTAAATCCATAAAGAGCATATTCTGTTTTATGTTAACATAAGTGTTTCCTTTGACATTTCAAATACCTTTTGTAATTTTTTGTGTAAATGTGTGTGTGTGTGTGTGTGTGTTGTGTCTTTGCATTGCCAAGGATGGAACCTAGGGCTCACACATGCTAGGCATTCTACCACTAAGCCTTAACCCCAACCTTGTCTGTATTTGTAAATGTATTGATACAGGATAGTATGGTCTAAATTAAGGAAAATAATTTATTTCTCAGATTTTAGACATATACATGAATCCTTTGCTCATGTGAACTTTGTTAAATAGAGTGACGTAGGGTTACATTAACATGTTCACAATGGAGCTATAGTTTGTGTGCCTTACTGCTGGGGACTTGAACCACTGGTTATACATGCATAACTGCCCCAAAGGGCAGCTTTTAGTTAATTTTATTAGTAAAAGACTAATAAAAGTAATTAGATCCATAATACCGCCAGTGGTACAAGCCAAGTGATGGGACAGTCATGCAAGTACTACCAGAGTTTCAAGCCAGCGGGAATGTGTTAATGGTTCTCGATATTACTGTCTGGTGGACAGTCTTAGTTACAGATCATGCAGATTGATTTTCCTACAAAATGACCAACATCAGGATGATGGTTTTAGCTAAATTTTTGCTCCAGAATGTATGTGCCGTGGTTTATTGACATAATCTCAGATTGCATTTCAATTTTTTAATTGGGAAATGTTTTTTCACGAAATATTTCAATTATCAAATGAAGGGTTTTGTACTTTTCAATGGTACTTCTGTTTGGTTGTATTCACACAATGTAGCTGTTCTCTATGATCTTCCTTTGGAATATATTTATTTCTATAGACATTACTATTGAGATCTATAAATACAGTTTTTTCAAACAGTACAATATAGTGATTAAAATCATTTGTTTACCCGTTTTTATTGTTAAAATAGACTGATTTGTGTGCGACAACTGACCTCAGAGTCATAAGGATTAAATTAGATAGCAAAGTACTTCTGGCATGGTACGTGACACAGCTTACTGACTTAAACAGTATATATTCATTGTACAGAATAGGAGAAATGGGAATTTAACAAATAATTGTTGCTGAGTTTGATCCTCCAGGCCCTCACTGCCATGGTGTCCAAGGTGACTGTCACTTTGGTCTTTTCCTTGCCTGCGTAAATGCATCCATGTTCACAGAGACCATGTGGTGTGGGGGCGGGTGTCATGCTGAATTCGTCACTCTGTGCTTTCTCTTGGTCTCAGGTGGCTGTCCCATGTTGCAGCTTACTCCTTTTCACTGTTACTCCATGTTAGTATTGAGATCAGACTGTATTTACTTGTCTTTCTGTATTAAGGAACATTTTGTACATTTCAGTATTTTGCTTTTGTAGTCTTGCTGTTGTGTTCTTATTAAGCATTAATTGCCTTCTTTGGATTCGAGAAGTCAGTCTTGTGCATTATCAGCAAATGCATGGCTTTAGCACTTGCTGCCTTATTTCCATCATTAGTATTTCTAAAAGCTGTCACCTTTTGAAGGAGGAGCCTAAGACCTAAGCGACTAAGATTGATCAAATAATTAATCATTAACTGTTCCTTGCATCTAGTAGTTCTAACCAGGTGTTGTGTATTCTCAGCACACCACACAGATGAGTGATGAAGAAGAAGACGATGATGCTGACCTCTTTGCTGACTCTGAGAAGGAAGAAGATACTGAGGACATTGACGAAAATACTAAACCAGTAAGAGATCATAGTTCTTTCACTCAAGGAGGTCTTAGGAATGGTACCCTTCAGCTCATTCCCTGTCTTGTCACTCAGCTGTGTATCTTTCTTGTTTTGCAAAGTATTTGTAAGTTCACTTACACTCCAGAAACAATGACAAGCACTCTCAATTGTCTTACAAATGCCACTTTCTTCTCCTAGTGTTAGGATTTTATAGGTCAGGTTGTTCAGAGTATACTCAGTTCTAGAGTTTTAGCGCCTTTCTCTCCCACCCTAGCACCTTAGTCTAGTTTTCTCACTGAGATTTTCATACCTAATCTTTACCTAGATTTAAAAGAAGTACAGTGGGCCCCCAAAATTCCTGGGCGTTACATTCCTAGGGTACTAGTGAATTCTGAAAAATCTCAGATTTCAGATATGGTCAGAAAAATGCCTATAAATGCCGGTTGTCTTTATAGTTTAAACCCTAAGTATGCTATATCTCCCACGGTTATATAATGTAATTTAATAAAATACTGTATTAATAAAGCTTTAGAAGGCCAGGCATGGTGACCACCTATAATCCTAGCACTTGGGAGGCTGAGGCAGGAGGATCACCATGAAGTCAAGGCCAGCCTCAGCTGCATAGTGAGTTCAGGGCTAGCCTGAACTGCATAGCAAGCACTGTCTCAAAAAAATAAAAAAATAAAAAAATAAAGCTTTAGAAGGTTCAGGGCATTTTGGCAGCATCATAAAGATCTTAGGGCTTTAAGAGAAACAAAACTGAGAACACTCAAGATAGCTACATGAGGTACAGCAACCTGTTATGATTTGGGAATTGCTGGTGCAACTGCCAGAGATGTGTTACAGAGTAGCAGCCAGTCAGCAACAAGGAGAACTGAGTAACACTCTCGGATTGGCTACTTGCAAACCTCCTGCCAAAAAAACAATTGCAGAGGATGTTTGCAGTTTCCATGAAATTCTAGGGGCTTCCACGAATAATTACTGGTTAAGGTTTGAGGAAAAATCCGTGAATGACTGAGCTTGCAAACTCTGAACTGCAACCTCACAGGAGTATACTGTACTGGTGAGCAAATAAAGAGCCTTCTGAAGGTACATTGTATGAGTCCTGTCTCTCAGGTGGTCTCTGTCAGGTGCATGTATTTGACTTCATTTCATCAAACCCTGTTTTCTCCTCAGCTCATTTTCTTTGCTGCTGGTACTGTAGGTTTGTTAGGTGTCTAAACATAAAGTGCACTTCTCTATTGAAAAAAGTAATTCTTCTGGTCTCGCCTGCCCACAGAAAAGACCCACATCTTTTGCCGATGAGTTGGCAGCTCGGATCAGAGGGGATTCGAGCCGTCTCGGGGAGGAGCAGGCAGGTGAGCCAGCCAGGACAAGGTAACAGGTCTTCCATGTGGTGTAGGAGCCTCTGCCAGCCCCACTGGTTGGAGGTTCTGCGTCTCATTCCTAAGGCACAGAGGTGCAGGCACTAGAACACCAGGAGAAACTCACATCCATGTAACATTTTTCCACACAATTCCAAAGGCCTTGCACCCCAGGGAACTGTGGACACCAGGGTAAGGGTCTGTGGCTTTCTATTTACTCCCATATTTTGAATTTTTAAAAATGCACCGTACAACATATTCTGGTTAATTGACAGCGTAGAAAAATATCAATCTTTGAGCAGACTCAGTACTGTGTGCTTTTGACCCAGGCATGTAGGCAGTGGCCTTCTGCCTTCTGGGGGACATCTGAGTGCCTCCTCTGCACCTGGCCCGAGATAAGTGCCCTAGTGGGGCAAGATGCAAAGTTGAACATCCTACTGTTAGCCTGAGTAGTGAGGACAACAGACACAGAGACACACATGGTGGGGTTAAGTAGTAGAGAATCTGAACTATCCCAACCTTGTCCTCAGGAGATCCCAAATCTCGGAAGACACTGAAAGAGAAGAAGGAAAGAACACCTTCTGACGGTAGGCCTTGTCCCTCAGTTCAGTCCTTTCAGGAGGCTTTCAACTCAGGAATATTGGTGTCTCGATTTGTAAAGTGTTGCTTTAAATACTGACAAGTGGGCTTCATCTGCACTCACTTTGCAAAAGCATCTGGAAGTGTTCTTTGGGGGACTAGGAGGAGTAGGGAGTGTGGAATATAAATACCAGAGATTAGACTACATAGCAGGCATCACCTTGCCTTTGTAGAATTTTCTAGAGGTAGGGAAATAAGGAGCTAGCATGGTCAGGCCCTTTCACATCCAGCAGCAGTGTCCATCATGTCCGTTGTTGCAGTGACCATCTGCAGATCTCTGTTTGGTATGTCCTCCCCCAGAGCCCCAGGGAGGTGGGTCATGAACATGGCAGTTGAGCTTGCCACAGAATACCTGGAGGGCTGCCTGAAGAATGCCTTCAGGAGGCCAAGGCAGATGAGTCACAAGTTTCAGACCAGCTAGGCCTGCACAGCAAGTTCAAAGCTAGCCTGTGCTACGCAGCAAGACCCTGCTTCCCATAAACAGTAAAAAAAATAGTAACAGAAAATTCACTCTGTGCTCCAGACATTTACCGACTTGAAAGTCCAAGCTCAGAGAGCCTTTTGGGTGCCCCATTGGGCTTTGAGGAGGTTTCTGTTAGGAATCGTCTACTGCCCTAAGCCCCTCCTTTTTAGCTGAGCCCAGGTGCCTCCTATCCCCCTGCTGTGGGCGCCATAGAGGCCCACCCGAGGCCCAGAGGCCTACTGCAGGACGGGGCTCCAGACTCACCCTGGGTCTCCCTGCATGTTGCATTCTGCTCACCAGAGGAAGAAGATAACTTATTCGCCCCGCCCAAGCTGACAGACGAAGACTTCTCACCATTCGGATCTCGAGGTGGCCTGTTCAGTGGTGGGCAGGGCCTGTTCGACAATGAGGATGAGGAGGTGAGTCAGTGTCTGCTGAGTTCATAGCAGGGAATCTGCTTCTGCTTTTAGGTGGGAGGTGGTTTTCACTGGGAGTTACTTTGACATCAGATCTAGGCATGTGTCAGACTCACCCACAGTGGGAAATGCTGTCTCCTGGGGTCGTTTGTGAGGTGTGGAGAGGATGTGTTAGCAGTGAACAATTCGCTTACCTCGGTGATTCCTTCTTACCCTACTGTCTTTTTCCATCTTTGTATTTTATTTCTGGCCTGCCTGAATTACTTAAGCGTCTGTCTCCACAGTCTTCACTTTGCAGCTGACTTTCTAGCAGAACAATAAATATGAAGCTTCAAGTTTTACAGGGTCCTAGAGATCCTGCAGTGTGGGTACATTCCCCTCCCATCTTCATTTCTCTGTGTCCTTACTTTACCCAGAGTGACCTCTTCAGGGACACCCCCCAGGACCGGCACATCCCAGCCCCCATAAATGCAGGTAAGCGCCCCTTCTTCGTGTGAGTCCAAAACTCCATTCCCTTCCTATTAGGAGGTGGAAGCCCCAGGTGGTTCCCAAGCTGAAAGCTGTGGTGTTTGCTTGGACCAGTAGAAAACAATTTGTCTTCCTGTGTTAGTCAGGTCTGTTCCCTCAGTGCTGAGATGACCTACAAGGACTAATGTGATTTGGGCACATAGTTTTAGAGTCTGTCAGCTGTGGACATTTGGCACCATTTCCTTGGTCCTGGGCTGCACAGCTCACTGTGCGGGGAGTGTGGGTGGGTGATGCTGCCACCTTCATGGCAGCCGGAAGTAAGAAATGGAAAAGGTCAGATTCCAGTGTTCCCTCAGGGGTGCCCCTGGCAGCCTAACTTCCTCCTAAAGCAGTGGTGGTGAACCTGTGGTATGCAGGCCACAGCCAGCTGTTTATTATTGAAAATTCTAAAAGGTTCACGGTCACTGTCCTAAAGAGTCCAGCACGTACCCTTCGTGACAGCCTTCAACACATGGACCCATGGGGGACATTCCAAAGACACCATAGCACTTCACTAATTTGGCTCTTGGTAAAATGGTACCATCCGTAAATTCCTTCAACAGTTCATAAAGTTAGACAGGACAAGTATAGCAATATAGAGAAATTTTTTTATAAAGTCTAATTCAAAGAAAATCATTTTTCTAATATTCTGCATCTGAATTGGCATTCAATAATTTTCCATTCTGGTGTGCATCAGAATCACCTTTGGAGTTTTTTAAAAGCACAGAGTTTTGTGTGTTGTTTTTTCAGTCTGCACCTTTTATCTCATTAGGATTGAGGAGATTCTCCTGGGTTGCACTTCCTGGGGTCAGGTCGCCCTCCCAGTTGCTGGGCTGTGAAACGGTTGTGCTATCTTCCAGTGTCTGTTCTCCCATTTTGATGTCAGTGACTTGTCTCTGTCTTTGCTTTTGTAGTCATCACTTTCTTCACTGATATTGCACATTTTTTACTTGTTCATGCCACTGAACTGGACCAGACAGAATTAGAGCTATTTTATAGGGCCTGGTTGCCAGGCTCAGCTCCTCCAGCCACCTCACTGCTGCTTGACCACCATCAGGACTCCTCTGTGGAGTCACAGCTTAGACTTACTCCCAGAGAACTCCTGATGCTGCCAGAGGGTGATTAACAGCTTATTTAGGAAAAATCAGTTCTGAAAAGTCCCCTGTCAGGTCTGTGTTGTGTTGCAAATACTTTAGGAAAGGGGGGTTTGTAAGGAAAATCAATTTCTTTGTGAATTGATTGTCTTTTTCTTCCTCATTCTAGAGTCCTCCTCCTCCAAACTTGGAAAGAAAATCCCAGCAGGAGGTGTTTCTGTGTTTCTAGGTAACATGATGATTGTTCTTTAAAAACCGTAGGAATTCTGTCATTCTCTGTGCACTGGTTGAAGAGGCATCTTTAGAGGGTGTGGTGTGGCTTACAGAGGCACTCAGTTACTGATGCCAGTGCAGGTCCTCTTAGAAGCAAGCGCATGGCTTGCCTTGCATGGACAGGGTACTGGTTTCCATACCCAGCACTGCAAAATAGTTTTTAAAAAGAAATGAATGGGTGGCTTGGACTTTTGTGTTTGAGTGATCATATGATCATATGATCCTGCACTGTGAGTCATTCACTAGCAGTTGCAGATGCCATCCCTTGTCCCTGCTGGTATGTTTAGTGGATATACTGAAACTAGTACGTCGTTCTTAGTGGATGGTACTATTTCTTCTCACTGGCACTGGCTGACAGCTGTGGCTGTCTTGTTTGCCCTTAGGGGATACAGATGTGTTTGGGGCTTCAACCATCCCAGTGCTGAAGGAGACCCAGAAGCCCGAGCAGCCCGCTTCAGGGAAGAGCTCATGTGTCCCTGCTGCTAGTGGCCTCTTCGATGACGATGACAGTGACGACTTTTTTACAGCATCCTGTAACAAACCTTCCAAAACAGGTATCTGTCCCAGCTTCTGATTCTGGGGATTTGGTTGGAGAAAGCTGTGGCCCCAAAAAGGATGCCACTCCCCTGGCCTCTGCAGCTCTAAATCCCACTTTGTACTTTTCTGTCTTTGTCTCCTCTGTGCTTAACGGTGCTTCGCCTCAGAGGCTGCTACAGAGTGGGCTGTCTTTTCTCCTCTGAAAGCTGCATAAGAAGATTATCTTCCTATAGAGAACTGAAGTCTGTTCGTCTATACTTTCTGCTCAGAATCTCTAGTTCTGACCTTTGGAGTTACAGAGGCAGTTTGGGCATGCTACCTTCTAGCAGCCTGCTGTTGTGCCTTGCATGAGTAGGAGGCAGTGTGATGGCCATTTCTCTTCTCTGTGCAGAAGAGCCAGATGTCCAAATGCAGTGGGCTTTCGGCCCTGTCCAGGTGGCCCTCCCATTTCCCCTCTATTGGGTTTGAGTCATCGCACTGGTGAAGTCTTCACCTCATCTGTTCTTCAGATACAAGTAGACGTGGGGGCTGCTGTCAGAATGGGTTGTGATCAGATGCATTTGAGTAGGGCCCCCAGTCTGCATGGCTAGAGTTTGCTATTCTGTGGAGCAAGACTTGGATTCAGTGGGGCCTTTTCCAGAAAAAGAGTAAATGAGTTTCTAGCACATGAACAAAGGAAAGAATGAAGGGTGGCGTAAGGGAAAGAGGGAACCAGTTGTTTAGTTGCAAGCGGTTTGGACTGACTGTCCTTCCCCAGGTTAGGTGTAGAAAAGGTCAAATCAGTGTGCTCCCTGTGTTAGAGGGCAGGCGGGTGTGTAGTGCATTGAGACCTCAATAGGCTAAACTGACTGACAGTGGTGAAGGCAAAAGGGCCCTGAGGGTTCTGAGTCACTGTCCTGGAGAAATGTTTGGGGGTCATAAATAAGTCAGCGCTGCTTTCTCTGACAAGAGTGTCTTGGGACCCTCATGAATCAGCACCTTCCTCTCACTGACATGTGCTTCGTGCAGGGCAGCAGTGCTTGTGGGAATGAAGTCTGTGTGGGTTGACTTAAGAAGGTTTTCTAGGTGCATTTAGTGGGAAACACAGTTGGTAAGATACACTACCCAGATTGTCTTGCCATCACAGTCCTGTTTGTGAATAACTAGAGTTGATCATCAACTTTTGGGGGATTTAGAAGCATGTGTGCCCAGGTCTTTCCAACGTCTGTCTCGTTCGAGTGGGTGGGTAACATTCTGGGGAATTTTAGTATTTCCATTTATCTCCTTCTGCGGCTTTACTTTTTAATGCAGAAGCCATCCTCAAATCTTAGATTCCTAGAATTACGACTTGGTGGTCCTGTGAAATGATGTTTCTTTCTTTAGGTCTCTTTTTATGGGTACCTGTTAAGCCACTCCCAGCTCCGTCAAGCATAGGACAGTGCCACTTGGATAAGCATGTCAGCCAGTGGGTTAAAGTATCTGCTCTGTGTCATGTAAGCTACTGTTGTGCTTTTTGAAAGGCAGCAAGGGAATGGGTCTAGGGTATAGCTCATTGGTAGAGCACTTGCCTAACATGGAGGTCACAGGTTTGATCCTCAGTACCACACACAAAAAAAGAAAAATATTACGAGGAGAATATGGTTTCACTTCCTACTTCTTTATACCTAATCAAGAAAATGTAACTTTAAAAACTTCCTTATAACTAACCATGCCTTTTTCCATGCATCCTTTGGGAGAGAAAAATGTTTTAATCTGCAAATCTTGTGATAAGATTTTGATCTTATCCTGTGGTATCTTTTTAAAGACAAAATCAAATCTACTGCCAGCATCTTTGATGATGATGAAGGTGATTTGTTCAAAGAAAAAGCAGCGGCAGCGCCTGAAGCAACTGTGAAACAGATGGATGAAAGTAAAGCAAGGGCAGAGCAGACGGTGAGTGGAGGGAGCAGGACAGAAAGGGGTGCAGCCCCTGGCATCTTACTGGTTCCTCTGGAGCCAGGAAAGTGGTGTTCCCTTGTGTTTATGTTGAAGAACTTCAAACATGAGGAAAGATGAATCCAGTGAACTCTAAGTAATTACCACTCAGAATCAGCAGTTGTTTAGATTTTGCCATATCCAAACCTATCTGCATGCATTTTTGCAGGGAAGCTGTACTCATTGTGACATATTACTCCTAAATAGTAAATGTCTTATGAACAAAAACTGCTGTATAACCAGGTGCCCTTGTCAATAGCTATGGGATTTCCAATAATTCTCCAGTAGGAGCCAATGTCCAGTGCACATTCACAGTGTTCTAGTTAACCCTGAAATGTGTTAGAAAATCACACCCAACATCCAAAATGTATAATACTGATTTTAAATTATTTCATATTCAATCTGTGTTCTGATCTTTTTCTCTTATCCTCAGAATGTCCTTTGTAGCTCTTGTTTTGCTTTGTTTGATTTTGAAGAAACTGCCCAGGATCTGGGCAGTGTTTCAAGATTGCGTTTGCTCATCCTATTTCTTTGGTGCCCTTTTATTGTTTTTTTTTGTTTTGTTTTGTTTTTTGTTTTTTTTTTTTTTGGTTTTTCTCCGGTACCGGGAACCGAACTCACGATCTTGCGCTTGCCAGGCAGGCGCTTTTGCCACTGAGCTAAATCCCCAGCCCCTGGTGCCCTTTTAATCTGAAACTTTGTTCATGTTTTCATTTCTACAGCCAGCCAGTTGTCTTGTAGAATGTTCACACTGTGAATTTACCTCATTGTTTTCCTGCGGTTAGGTTTAGGTAAACTGTTTTTGGCAAGAATAGAGGCAGGCCCTGCGTCAGCTCTGATGAAGTGAGTTCCCCCATGCCCAGCTGTCCACTCTCGAAGCAGTTTGATCCCCCTCAAAGAGGATCACTCTCTGTGTCATTAACAAGTTGGTCCCTTGATCTTTGACACTGTGAATATCCTGTTCTCTACCAGCTATGAGCTTAGTGGTATTAGCATCCACTGATAACTTTCTGGGCCAGTTATCATGGGAAGGGAGGTATGAAAGTACCTTTCTAATTCCGTTTTCTCTACACTTACTAGCTAAACTTACCAGCTGGCATTCTTCTGAGTGAAAGAGCTTTGTCCTCTCGTTGCCCCAGTTTTCAGTGTTGTCATAACAACATTGATTCTTTATCCATTGATTACTTTTTTTTGATGTTCACATTGATCTGTGTTTGGTGAGTCTCCTATGTCTCTGTCCGCCCTGAGCTCTTCAGGCTGCTGCTGTTTCCTCTGCTGTCAGCACTGGTTGCCTTCTCTTCTTTTTAGTCATGTCCCATTGTGTCACATCCTTGCCAGAAACCTGATTTCTGCCAGTCAGCACCATCCCAGCATCTGGGAGTCGTGGACAGCCTGTGCCCCAGTCACATGTCCCATCCGTACACTGCATGACAGCGGGCAGTCTATCCTGCGCCCTTCTCCACCAGACATGCCCTCTATGCTATCTTGCTTTCCCTTGCTGCACAGTTCCCTTGGCCTGGAAGGCCCTTCTCCCTGGGCCCTTCTCTCTTTTTCAGGGAAACTTCCTTCCCACATGCCTAACTTAAAGCAGTTTTAAATTCTTCCCATGATAGTTCACCTCTTGTGTTAATTCTTTGTGTGAACCTCACATGCAGCAGGGTCCACGCTGGCATCTTTATTCCTGGAGGTGTGCCTTGGCACTTTCTCATAGCAGAGACTCTCAATAAATAAATCTCACTTCCAGGTATCATATTTGCTAATCTCCCATTTTTCTTCTTTTCCCCCAACAAGGTTACCCTACCTTCCAGCAAAAATCTCAAGCTCTTGCCAGAAACAAAAACTCAAAAAAGTTTGTTTTCGGATGAGGAGGACTCTGAGGTATGGAATTCTTTTTCTTAGTCCTAAATATTTATTTGTGCCTGTGACACTAAAGACTGTTATTTCTGGATCAGTAGAGACATAAGACTTTTTATTAAGTAGGTTTGTTTTTTTGTTGTAGTTTTTAAAATAATCTCCAGGAAGTATTTGGGCTTCAGAAAGCAATATAAATATAACACTTTACATTTTGGGGTTTGACTCTAGGGCTGTGTATGTAAGGAGAACACTGTGCTTCTAGGATGTTCAGATTTTAGGCTGCTATTGGTCCACACAGTAGGTACCTATGCCAGAACTGACAGCAGCCTGCTGCTTCCATCTGTGACAGTCTTACTAACTAAATAGCAGGCATGGTATTAAGTGGTGTGGTTTGGGCCTTGTTGTGACCAGGCACAGGTTGTGGATGGCCTTATTCCCTCTAGGCTTTGTCTTTGTTTGACTGCCTCAGGCCTGGTCCTTTCAGATCTAGCCTTAGGCCAGCCCTTTGGGAGACTGGAGACCATGAGCATCAAAATGTATATGTAATTTGAAGACATCCAGACTCCAGGTTCCACTGTCACGGGTAGACTTCACACTCCCTGCCAGGGTGTATGGATGGCGAGTGATACAAGTAATGCCTTTCAGGCTTGAGAGCTTGTATTTCCCTGAGGGCTTGTGGATAGAGAGAATTAGCCAAAGTGCAGTTCAGGCCACCTCCTGACCCTCCAGCAAGCAGGGGAGCCCCACGCAGTTTCTCTTGGGGTCCTTGTTTACCCTGCTGCCTTCCAGCACACCTGCACCTCATGCCCAGCCTCTGACCCTCTGGCATGCTTTTCCCTAAGTGGGGGGCTCATTTCCCTGCTCTCTGGTCTATGCGAAGTTGCCCTACCAGCTCACCACTCGGAGCTGCAGCACAGGGAAAACAGGCCACATTGCACCTATCCTGTCTCTTCTCTGCCCTGGCCCTGATGCTTGGAGACCATTTTCCCTCCCCTAGCTTGGGAAGGCTCCCCAAGATGGGGAGGATTTATCTCCAACTGTATTCCAAGCACCCTGCCTCTAATACCAGCACTTAGCATTGCCCAGTTACCCAGTGATAGTCAAGTGCCTGGAAAACTAGACATGAGCTGTTTCAGTGACTTTCCTGCTGTTCTCCTTATTTATTGCTTTTACTAAACCACCCAAGAATTCAGTGGTTTACAACACCAGTTGTTTCACTGACTCCTATGGTTCTGCTTGTCCCCCAGGGCCTCTCGTGTCTGAATGGGGCTGGGCTGAGAATCCTCCCGCTGAAGAGACATGAGCACCAAGGCTGCTGGGCATCCAGCACTGTCTCCTAGGCACACAGCTTCAGGGCCACAGGGCCTGGATGTGGTGACTCAGGCTCCAGTGAGAGTCCTCAGAGAGGAGTTGGAAGCTGTGCATCCTTTGATAGCCCAGTTTTGGAAGCCAGCCTTTTCCTCCTGGACAACTTGTCCCTTTGGTTAGTTAAGACAATCATACAAGGCCCACCCTGGATGGAGTCAGAAGTATAGACTACACTTGGTGGTGGGAGTGTAAACGGATTGGAGACTCAGTTTAGAACCACAGCAAGGCTTTGGCCCCTGGTTATCACCACAGAGTCAGTGATTTTGTTATGGGAAAAACTGAATCAACAGTAACCAGGAGCTCAGAAGAAGGAAAGGAAGAGTTTATTGATGCTGGTGGACCCCAGAGGAGTAATCTCCAAAGTCTGGGGTCTTTACAGAGAGCTTGTCTTACTTGTAAGGTGGCAAACAGAAGTTACAAGAACGAGATAAGCTTTTGCTGAAGGTTATGGTACAGTGGATATCTTGTGGTGAGCATAGTTGGATGTAGCAAAATTGTTTTTAGCACATTCACAGAAGTTTCAGTTTGTTGACATCATGATTTAGCTGAGTTCAGTGGCAGAGAACGGAATGACTGCAGCTTTAGTGAACAAAACGTTGCGGTTAGGTCAGGATTTCTGCTTCTGTTTTACTGCGTGTGGTGGTAGTCTTAGGCAAGGAGAAGTGAAGCCCGGCAGTTAACAGATGAAGCTTTGGACCAGAGGACCGATTCCATGCCCCTGTCTCAAGCTAGCAGCTGAAGTTTACCCTGGCGAGTCATGAGGGAGGCAGGCGTGAAGTAGTGGAAATGTCTTTGTTCCCAGCACCAAGAAGTGTCCAAAACTAAAAGTTTGTTTTTACTCTTTATTTGGATTGCTTTCATTTTCTTAAAGCAACGGAGCCCTTTCTTTTGGCACTGTGTAAAATGCAGGAGGGTGCAGACTGCTAGAATTCCAGTTGTAGCCTCTTTGCCTGAACCCACCTGTAGACTGGGGTCCCAGGCCTGTGATGCCACTGTGAACACTTTAAATCTGCATTTCAGGAGGAAGCACTGGTCTTATGGTTGAAGAAAATTATTCGAAAGTGTCTTCAGAAAGTATATTCACGTCCTATTTGGCTTTTAGGTATGGAAGTTTCTCTGCCCAAAGGACTGGTTGTCCAGTCTTGTGCTTTGAATTCATGCAGCTCAGTTCACAGAGCTTTCTCTGCAGTCTTAGATGACGTTTTAAAACACTGTAAAGAATATTCATAATCCAGCAGATCTTTCATAATCTAGCAGATCTCTCCTTGATATGCAACATTTTGTAGCTATACTTCAAGTTGAATAGCAAACATTTGAAAGTAGAAATTTAATTGGTATTCATTTAAAAGAAATACTATCCTAAGGAGAGAGAAGTATCACTAATAAATAATCATAGATCTATTAGTTAGGAGTCTAGGATCTGTTTCCATGATTTGGGTCATTATTTCTGACTCCTTTAGACAGATGAAGTCATTCTTACTTTCTCAGTGTGCTGGGACAGTAACAGGGAATCATCTTTCCACCTGAGGCCATTAAGGTGGGCATGTAGAAACCTTGGGTGCGACCACTTGGAGTGGTCCCTGAGGATCCTATCTCAGCCTCGTGGCAGCCATTGTGTCTGTCATTGGTTGCTATAGTGACCTGAAATGATAACCAGCAACTTCAATCTTGATCCAACAGGATTTGTTTTCTTCTCAAAATGTGAGTAAGTCCAAAAGTGCATCTCTCCTACCCAGCAAGCTCCCCACATCAGTCTCCCTTTTTGATGATGAAGATGAAGAGGTAAGCATCCTTATTGCAATAACAGATAATCAACTTCTAATTAAATAAAAAAGGCAGCTGACATTACAGTACAGCCAGAGGCTCACAGAGTAAGGGGTACTAGGAAGCCACAGGTTGCCTGTGGTGGGTGGAACAGAAATAGGGCTGTGTACGCTGCAGACATTCACATGGTTGTCCAGGAGGATATAGCCACGTGGCCAAGTTCTTGTGGGAAGCTTATTAGAGTTCATCTTTAGACTCTGCCTTGAGAATGCTTTTTCCAGGATGATGCTCAGATATGCCAGTGATTTGCAGTAGTATTTTAGATAAAAGGATGGCAAGGAGCAGGAGGCCTGCCATCTCCTGACCTGGCCTTTCTTTCCCACCCTGCATGGGGAGAGCTTAGTAGGGGAGAAAAGTCAGAGTGAAACCAAAGCAAACCCAACCCTTGTGCTGCATTGCACAGTAGATAAGCATGTGAGCTCTGGCCTTAGATCCAGCTCCACTGCTTCATGCAGGACCCTCATCTCCTAAATCTCCACTCCCTGAAGGTGAGTAGCCCATTGTGAGAGCTAAAGCTGACACCTGGTGATGTAAAACCCTGCAGTACCTGGCACGGAGTCAGTGCCTGGGGAGTGTTCCCACTGGCTACCTGCTCATCATGGTCCTTTCTGCCTCACCACACTGCAAGGCCTGTTTACCTGTCTACACTGCAGGGTGTCCACCTGTTGTCACGAACCACAAAGAGTTTCTCCATCTGAACTCAGCTCCGGCCTTTCATGGTTTTGTTCCCATTATCTGAGAAGTATTCTAATGTACTTTTAGAGTGAATTTACAATGTTGTTGAGCCTATGAGAATCAGCCCGTAGTATACCAGCAATTTTATGTAGTAAGCTGTTTCTTAACTTTGTATTCTGTCTTTAAAGTTAATTAGAACCCAGGTCATTCCTTCCCCGTCCCGTGAATGTGTCTGTCAGCTATTACAGAGTGGACAAAGCCCCTACATTCTCCTTTTATCCTTGCTCAATTTCTAAGACACACAAGAGAAATGTGACTTGGTGGCTGCCGCCTGCCCTCACACTCAGCTGGGCACTGCCTGGGCCTCAGTTCCTCCTCGTGCCTCTTCTGCCTTTGTTGCCCTCTCCTCAGTGCCCACTCTGCACTTAGGCTCTCTGGTGACCCACTTACTTCCATGGGTAGAGAATGCAATTAGGAAAGGCCATGGGGAGGGACTATTTTTTGGTTATGTTCTGGCCCTTGACGAGACTTGCCCTCTTCGACATGGTTTCTCTTTCGTGTGTATCAAGCCATCATAGCTTCCTGCCATTTGTTTTGCTAGGATAATCTTTTTGGCACTGCTGCTGCTAAGAAACAAATGCCATCTCTACAAAATCAAAGTCAGGAGAAAGCAAAACCCTTGGAACAACCCAGAAAGAAAGCCTCTGCCTTACTGTTCAGCAGTGATGAGGAGGTGAGCTAAGGTTTCACCTGAAGACGGGGAAGATCTTGTTGATGGGATTGAAGAATTACAACTAGCCTGGACATACCACAGGCGATGTTTATAAGATTGTGGTTTTATTTCTTTTAAAAAGCTATTTAAGGTATGTTAATTTAGAGATTAATCTTTTCAAAATAATTAGAATACCTACAGTGCCCAGACTCTACTTGATGCTAATTCAGATGAAGTGGGTCATGGAGGGGAGAAAAGATTTCTCACCTATCACAGGTTTGTGGCTGAGGCCGTGTAGCAAGACAGGGAAAACATGCATGTTTATTTTAGGTAAGTTTTAGGTGGCATGGGAGCCATTAGAAATGAAGACCCAGAGACACGGACACTCATGTACTTCATGCCATGTCTGATGAGCGTGGGCAGTTGTGGAGGAGACTGGACAGAGAGGTGTGATCAGATGGTCATAACTAGGGAAATTTAGCCAGGCCCCTGTGTTCAGGTTCCTCTCCAAGTTAGCGATGAGAACCTTCCTTACCTCTGGATATAGAATGGCACCTCTAAAGGAATGGTCTGTGGCCCCCTTTGAAGAGGAAAGTGGAGGACACTTTCCAGCCTGTTTCAAGAAAAAGCATGAGAGGGAGGTCAGACCTTGCTGCCTCTGTTTACTCCATGCCAGGGTGCCATACCTTGGGGTAACATGTCCTGTGCCCCATCAGCTGCACACTGTCTTACTTAGTGACAACCATGTGTCACTATAAGGACAGCTAGACACAGTAGCAGTGGCCTGTGCATGCTGGGCTCATAGGATTCTTTCTGTTTCCAAATCAGCAAAATTAATAGTGAGTATGATTCAGCTACTTTTCAGATTGAACTGTGCAAGAAAGCCTTTCATGAAATTTTAAATGTAGAGCATTAAAGATCTTCCTGAGGGTTGCAGATGTAGCTCAGTGTAGAGTGTTTGCTCAATGTTCACAATGCCTGGTTACATCCCCAGGACAGGAAAAACCAATTTTAAAGAAACAAAAAGCCGAGTTCTTTATCTTTGCAGCTAAGTTATGTTGGTATAAGATGGATAACAACTTGCAGCTTTGTTGATGTATTGTTTGAAAGCAAGTTAAAATGACACACAACATAAGTTGTGTCTTCTCAAATAAAATTTATGATATATCCTTCTTTTTTATTAACCACTGTCAGTGGTTATTTGCCTCACCATGACAAGCAGACTCAATCCTACCAGAGCATATAGCAGTGCAGAGAAAATAAAAATATTAGCTGTAGCTGGGAGCAGAAAGAAACCTGGAATAAAGATGACCAGGGTTCTAGAACAAAGATTGTCAACCTTAGCTGTCCCCTAGATTCCTGGGGAACTTCAAAGAATACTAAAGGTGGGTCCCAGGTTGGAATGGCTTTGCGGTACAGCCTCCTCCCATGAATTTGTTAAAGCTTTTAAGTGGCTTCTGGCCTGCAGCCCCAGCTGAGTGAACCACTCTGAGGAGTTTTCAAACTTCAGTATGTGAAGAAGTCCCCTGAGGACCCTGTGAAATTCAGGTTCTCACTCAGCCTGGGGTGGGGCCTGAGGATTTGCAGAACCTGTGCTGGCTTGGGGACCCTCTGTAAAGCCACATAAGCAAGGATTTGGGAGAGCCTTGGTGTGCAGGGATCAACATGGCCGGGTGGGAGTTCCTTAAATGCTTCCTGAGGTCCACGTCTGGGGTCCAATGCTGTGGTACAGGGGTCACCAGCAGCTTCCATAGCACTATTTGGCAGGTGTGTGGCATGAGCTTGGGATGTTTGACATTAAAACAGCATTCTTTTCCTTTCTACAATTGGTTTTGATCCCCTAAAATAGACCAGTTTTCTTGTTCCAACCTGGAGCAGAACCATAGCAAGGAGAAGCACTGTGGCAGTGGTGGAGAAGGAAGGCAGCCTGAGAAGGACTGTGAGGTCCCGGAACCTAGCTGAAGGGATCTGAGTTCAGAGCTTTGGACATAACCTTTATTCCAGAGTGATGCACTTAGTTTGATACTTAGTTTAAAAGCTACCTTCCATGATCTAAGTTGCTATTGGTTTTTCTTTTTCTTGGCAGTGCTAAGGAACAGGAGTAGGACTAGGCCTGTGTTAGGCAAGCGCTCTGCTGCAGAGCTGCTCCCTTCACCTCCTGATGTGTATTACACATGGGTTGTGTTTTCAGGACCAGTGGAGCATTGCTGACACACAGACCAAGTCCCCGTCTGACAGCAAATCCAAAGGAGAGCTCAGCAACTCAGGGGCTACCCAGGGCCTGCAGGCCACAACTGTGAAGAAGACCAGCCTTTTTGAGGAGGACGATGAAGATGACCTGTTCGCCATTGCCAAGGACAGGTGAAATAGTCATGGCAGGAAACCACGGGCTGTATGTCTGCAGTGGCAAGGAAAGGTTTGGAATACACCGGTCAGGCAGTATGTGGTCACCATGACTGATGTCCAGGTCTTCTCCCCAGTGCTGGAAGTGCTTTCTTTCTTGGATCCCTACTGGATTTCTTCTCTCTGTCATTTCTATTGGCATGGAAATATTCTTTGTCTTAGTTTGTCAGTGGTGTAAGTAGTTGTTGTCCTCTGTGTGTTTGTATTCTCTCTGAGATAACTTGAAGATAGTTAAGTTCGGTCAAGGTTACTTAAAGATTTGTCACTTCCATAGAAGTGGATTCAGCATTGAAAAGTGTCCTGGTAGAGGATGGCTATCCACAGAGCTGTGAGACCCACTGGTGGCAGGGACCCTTGCCATCTGGGTGGCTCCCCTCTGATAAGAATGTGGGGGAATTAGAACTCCATAAACTGTTGGTGGAAAGGTGAAATGGTAGAGCCAGTTTGGAAAATGGCTTGGCATCTCCTCAAATGTTAAGTGTAGAGTTACTCGTGACCCGGTAATCCCACCCTTAGGTGTATATCTAAGAGAAATGAAAAAAAGTGTTCATGGAGAAACTTGCACACAAGTATTTACTGTAGCATTACAATAGGAAAAACGTAGAAAAAGCCACGTCTATCAGCCATGAATGGGTAAACGCATGTTGCATAAACACACATTGGGCTATAACCCCTAGTGAAAAGAAGTGAAGTGCTGATACATGCTGGGAGGTAAATTGACTTAGAAAATACTGTGTTGCTGAGAAGAGCCAGCCACAGAAAACCATAAATTATATAATTCCCCTGATATAATGTGCCCAGGGTATAACTCTGTGGAGACAGGAAGTAGACTGTGGCAACCAGGGTTGAGGGGAGAATGGGTGAGGAGTGACTGGCGACCTGGAGTTTCTGGGTGATGGAAGTGCTGGAGCTTAGGTCATGGTGACGATGCACAGCTCTGTCAGAGAAACCCATTGCTGTACGCTTTTGGACGGTTGATCTTACGGTGTGAAAATTTTGTCTTAGTAAAGCTCCCATGAAAAAGGTAGCGTGCAGACCACAGCCACACACCTCCAAGCTGGCTGTGGCCTTCCTGACCACGCTGGACACAGGCAGTCTGCTCCTGTCCTCTCTACTGTGATGCCACAGAGCTCACAGCTAACACACCTACGCAGAGAATGACATGCCAGGGGCCAGGTGAAGAGGTTACAGACCAGAGATGAGTGTCCCCAGTCACTCCTGTTTCCTGTCTGTTCTCAGCTGTGTGGGGTCAACAGATGGGGCAGGTGGGTAACTGTAGGTGTTGCCTAGAAATGATACTGTTTTTGCTCGTAAATTATGTCTGCCCTGAATTTGACCTTTTATTTTCTCCTGTAGCCAGAAGAAGACCCAGAGAGTGTCTCTCCTGTTTGAAGATGACACAGACAATGGAAGCTCTTTGTTTGGCTCTCCCCCGACCTCTGCTCCTCCTGCAACAATGGTACTTTTCCTCCTGCAGCCCCGAGAAATGTTCTTCAGGTTCCCCTGCAGAGTAGTGGTGCAGTGCACCAGAGTGACTGAACCTACAGAAGGACTTGTGTGCCTGGTGCAGAAAGAGCTCTGGTTAGGGGTACTGTCGATGTGAAGCATGTTGTACAGAGCCAGTAGAAAAGGGCTCCCTGTGTCAGACAGCCCACTGAAGCAGACACAGGCACAAGATGCTCCATGTCGGGGAGACTGAGCCGCAGGGCCTGCAGTGCTGCTAACATTTGTGCAGCTGGTTAGGGCGTGTGTTAGTCAGCTTTCCCTCACTGTGACAGAGAACCTGAAACAGTCTTTGAAAAGAAGGGGAAGGGTTTGTTTGGGCTCTGGATTTCAGAAGTTTTGGTTTGTGGTGGTTGGCCCAAATGGTTTGGGCCTTTCATGGCACCATGCATTATGGCAGGAACATGAGGTGAAAGAATTGCTCACCTCTGTTGACCAGGAAGCAGAGAGGAAGGGGCTGAGTCTCCAAAGGCGTGCCTCATTGATCTCATTTCTTCCCACCAGTCATCACATAAAGGTGCCACTGGCACAGGCTCCTATGAGTTCTTACCTATACATAAGATGATGTATTGGAGAAAAAAATAAAAGTTTATTATAGGAAAGATATTTGCCTTTCTCTTGGTAGAAAAAAGAGACTGCCCGTGAGGCACCGCCTTTGCTGTTCAGCGATGAGGAAGAGACGGAGCCGCAGTTTGAAGTGAGACCTGCAGGTCAGAAGGCCAAGAGCCCGCTAGTACCCTCTGCGCTGCAGGGAACGGGCGAGGCTGAGGAGCTGGAGAAGGTAGGCTTTGTTCTCTTGTTTGCTAATGTAGTGGTATCCCGAATGTCCCATCTCTCTCTAATACACACACACACTTTTTCCACCACAAAATATCAGTGCCTTGTGTGTGGAAAAAAATTGAAAGCCCTATAAAAAGTGAGAAGGCAGCCTGTGCTCCTGCTGGGCTCGGGGAAAACCCTTCTCACAGCCCGGCTTTTTGTTCCTCTCCTAGGCATACTTCTGGTTCTGTGGAGTGCCTGTGGAGTCATGTCAGTGTGTGTGTTGCCTTCCCTCCAGGGTGCGCCTCTTGGTCTCATGTCTTGTCTTCTCTCCACGTCTTTGCTCTTTTCTGGCTTCTCTGTGATTTTCCTGTCTCCTTTAGCTCCTCTTGTCCCACCTGTACTTGAATTAAGATGTCAATTTTATGAAGACTCTAGTTTCAGATTCTTGATGCTTGTGGTTGATGCTGGTTGTAAATTATAAAGCAAGGTGAAACGTGTCTTTCTTAAACACTGGTGCTCTTCTAATGGTCAACCATGTCTGACTGGAGCCTGTGCAAATGCTGCTGCCCACATCTGATAGTCCAGGAGCCATAGTAACCGTCTGTCTCTGGTCTCTTACCTTTGTGACTTCTCATACACTATATGTCTAGACACTGTCTCCAGGGCCTCAGGGAAGAACACTGCATTACTCCTCCTGGGGAGGCTTCTTGGAGCTGTCATGATGTGGACGTTTCTCTGTGGCCATCAGTCTGACGTCTCCCTTCAGTGGCTGCATGTGGACCATGCTCTGTAGACCTGCACTGTCCTGTCCTAGTCCACCCTACTATCCCTGTCTCTGCCTCATCCCCTGTACCCTTTTCTTGACTTAAGAATCCACTTCTTAGGCCTGGGCTGGCTTCGCTCACCATTACACATACACTTCTTAAGCTTGGATTGGCTTCACTCACCATTACACCTTTTACTTCACATTTCACCTTGTATGTAGTAGGCACCATCTTTCTTACATACTGTGTCAAAAAAACATGTTGTTCCAGTTTGGCCATTCTGAAATTAGGGTGTGTGTCACAACCTATGACAGGTGAAATCAGGAGTCAGTCTTCTTCCGAGGTGTACCTAGAATAGTGGTTTTTAGGACCAGTAGTATCTTAGCTGAATTGTAGTACTGTGGAATGAATAAATGTGTGCATTTTGGAAATTATTCTAATTGTGTATACAATCATAGCTTACAGGGGCTGGGGATTTAGCTCAGTGGCACAGCGCCTGCCTGGCAAGCACAAGGTCGTGGGTTCGATTCCGGGTACCGGGAAGAAAAAAAAAAATCATAGCTTACAATTCGAGTGTCTGGTTTTGCTGGTTAGGGTTCCCTTTGGTACCTAGGTATGTTGTGAAGCACTGTGATCCATTCCCAGTGATGGACGTTTGTTATTTCCGTGACTTAAAAGTTTCTTCTAGCTCATAAGCAACCTGTGTGCAGCAGGGTTCTGACTAACCTATCACCTGGAAGGAAGGAGGGACCTGCATCCTTAATGTATTTGGAGAAATTGTCTTTGATAGTCATGGCTGTACAGGATTCTCATTAGCACAGCCAGCGGAGAACTGACCTTACTGTTCTGCCACATGGAGTAGATGTGACTCACTGTAGTGCCCTGAATCCTACATCTGTGGCAGGTGGGGATTCATAAGGAGGAACAGTGCCAGGATCAGATTTTTACTTTACATTTATTAATTACCTTTTCCCTTACTATTTCCATTTTTAGGAAGGACTTTTGACTGCATCTGCCCAGGAAGCCATCAAGCATTCTGATTTGTTTTCTCCAGCATCCCCATTGGACAAAGGAACCAAGGGTAGAACTAAAACTGTCCTTAGCTTGTTTGATGAGGAAGAGGATAAAATGGAAGATCGAGACAGCTCCTGTGTTCCACAGACAGAAGTAGGGAAGGTAAACAGAGGGAACATAGGTTCGAGTCTATAGATGGTGATAAAAGAATCTCATTTCATGGTGTTCTGTCCTGAGTTAAGGAAGAAATCTTAGTCTTTGGAACAGTGTGAATGGTTCTGTCCAGTCATTCAGATGTTTGGAAATCTGATCAATGACTTCCCTCCAAGAGCACTGTAAGGGAGGGCATTAGGATGTCACCTGAGTCTTCTGGGTGCTCCTAGCAAGCGTTTTTGCCCCTTGGCCAGAAAAGGTTGTTAGGAAGGAGAGAGGGAAGTCAGGCCAGATCTGCACACTTAAGTACTTGCAGCATTCATTTCAGCAAATGCTGCTGGCATACTTGTTACCTCCATGCAAAAGAATGAAGCTGGATTCTTACCTCACCATACAGAAATAAAATGCAGAAGGAATCATAGATACAAATGTAAGAATTAAAACTGTACAACTCCTAGAAGAAAATGTAAAATTAAATCATCATGACCTTGAATTAGGCAGAGCTTCCTCAGATATCCACACAAACGAGAAAAGAATAAATAGCCAAAATGGGCTTTATTCAAATGAAAACCAAAGTTGTGCATCAAAGGACACCATCAAAAGAATAAAAAGATGACCCATGGATGTGAGAAATGTTTTTATATCATATACTTGATAAATATTTTCATATCATGTACTTGATTTTCATATGTACTTGAAGTACTTCCATATCATGTGCCTTTATAGAAATATTTTCATATGTACTTTTCATATCATGCCCTTGATGTACTTGATACTACATATACATGTAAAATACGTAAAATAATTACAACTCAGTCATAAAAAGATAACCCAATGCAAAGAAGACACACAAATAGCTTATACACTCAGCCTTATCAGTTATTAGTGAACCAGAACCTCAATGAGGTGCCCATCAGGAAGGTCATAACTAGAAAAGAAAACTAACCGGTGTTGGCGGGGTGTGAAGGAACAGGCTGTGGAATGGCCCACACACTTTGAAAAGCAGCTTCATGGTTCTGAAATTTGTTCAATCATGGAGTTGCCACATGGCCCAGCAAGTCCATGCCTAGGTGTATATCTAAGAGAGATGAAAACGTGTTCACACAAACATGTGCTGGATATTCCCCGCAGGATTGTGCACAAAAGCAGAAATGGAAACAGCGCAGCGGTGGACAGGCCCATGGGGCAGCTAGGGACAGTGGTCCACCTACCCACAGCTTCACTTTTTGCAGTTTCAGTTAGCCGCAGAACCTGCCGTCTGAAAATGTGAAATGGCAAATCTCAGAAATAAGCAGCTAGTTTTTATGTTGTGCCTCTTTCAGAGAAGCATGACAGAATTTCATGCTGTCCTGCTCCCTGCTATGTAGGGTATGAATCATCTCATCATGCAGTGGCAGCGTAGCCACACTGTAGGTGGCCTGGGTAATCACACAGTCACTGTCGTATTTACCAGGCTGACTCTTAGCATCTTGGCCATATTCCAGTGACTGTGTGTAAGGAAACCTTACTTTACATAATCATGGCCCCAGAGCCAAAAAGAATGATGCTGACGATTCAGACATGCCAGAGAGAAGCAATAAAGCACCTCCCTTGAGTGAAAGGTGAAAATTCTGAGCCTCAGAGGAGAAACCAAATCCTGTGCACAAGTTGCTAAGTTCAATGATAACAGTTTTCTGTCTGTAAAATTGTGAAGGAAAGAATCCATGCCTAGTTTTGCTGTTGCATCTCAAACTATAAGTTAAACCCCACCAGGTGCTAAGGATAGAAAAGGCACTAAAGTCTTCAGTGCTATCCAGGATTTCAGGCGTCCACTGAGGATCCTGGAATGTCCACCTTCAATAAGGGAAAGCTGCTGTATTATTTCCCAGTATAGAAGTGCAGTAAATAGGAGTGAGTTCTAATGCTATGCAGTACTACAGGGTGGTTGTAGTACATGCACAGCAATTTATACTTATTTTATTTATGTTTATAAAGAACTGGAGGAAAAGAGTTCTCAGGTTTCTGACACAAGTGATAAATATTTAAGCAGTTAGAAATGCTAATCACCCTGATGTCATCATTACACTATACACATATATCCAGTTATATCACATGGTACCCTATGAAGACCCAAAGTAAATGAACGGTTGTGTGGGACTGAGTGGAAAGGGTGGATGAGAATGGAAAGTGACTGGTTCAGGGGTTTCTTTAGGGGTGATGAGAATGTTCTAAACTTAGATTGTGGTGGTGTTTACATAACTCCATAAATATATTTAAAAATCCTTGTATTACACACTCTGATTTAGTGTTCTGTTGTATGAACATGTTGCCCCCATGCTGCTGGGCACATAGGCCATGCCTAGCCTTTTGCCAGTGTATCAGAAGCTGCAGGGGATGACCTCCTTGTGGCATCTGTCTTTGCACACGTGGTTTTCATATGCTAAATGTTGTCACCATGTTCTCAATCTTCTGCGCAGGGTCCTGATCCTGATGCCCGGCCCAAGAGCACAGGTGTCTTCCAGGATGAAGAACTCCTTTTTAGCCACAAGCTCCAAAAGGACAATGACCCAGATGTTGACCTTTTTGCTGGCACCAAAAAAACCAGGGTCAGTTCCCCACTGCTCCCACAAGACGGCTTTGTTTCTGTGTTAGATACCATCTTAGAGGCTCATCCTGCTTACTGTAAACCACATTTCCTTTTTGGTGCTGAATCTGAGTGTTGTCTGTTCCAGTTGGCAGAGCCAAGCATGGGGAACCTCTTTGGTGATGATGAAGATGATGATCTTTTCAGCTCTGCCAAGACCCAGCCTGTGGTATCCGCCTTTTCTCTGTATCAGGGATATGAAGGAGCAAACTAATGTCTACTTACCAAAGGAAGGAGAATGCACAAAGAGTTGTGGTACCCGGTCGTAAGCAAATAGCAGCTAAACATGCTGGTGGGATCACATGTTTGGGATCTGAGTCTCAATTCTTATGGCTTCCCTTCCTGTGTTCCCTCACCAGCATTAAAACAGACACTGACCCAGGCCCTCTAACTGCATTACTAACATGCTCAATTTATTGAAGGAACATTGTTTACTCTGGTAAATGTTTTAGTGCCTTTTGGGTGCTGACCTTTGAGTTCTAATCCACATGTGTTTTTTTCCTGCTGATGTACTAAGTTTTGTTTTTGTCACAGAGAGGACTCCTGTGAAAGGCAGTCTTCTTTTTCTTTGCTTTTTCTTTCTCCCTTTGCTTTTGTGGTATTGGACATGGAGCCCACGACCTTGTGCATGTTAGGCAGGGCTGCACTCCCAGCCCTCATACCTTCAGAATGATCTTTCTGAAATGCTACTTTCAAGCTGCTCAGCCATCATTGGAGAAGGGAATTTTTAAAATCCTGAAATCAAGTTCCTTGAATTATGATTTTTCTTTAAAATTTTTAAGATACAGGGCATATTTTAGTATTCCTTTCCTTTTGTAGGTACCAGAAAAAAAGAAGGTAATAAAAAAAGACCACTCTGTTTCCTCTTCCAAGACCCAGAAGCATCCAGAATCCACCCAAGGTAGCAAAGAGAAAAGCATATGGAAACCAGAAACAGCACAGGTTAGTTATTTTAAGGATTTTTAACTCTTGTTGCATCTAGGTATAGTTCAGTTCCATTGTACAGTTCTCCACAGCAGCTGGAGCCACATTTTTTGCAGTATATTTTATCCCTGTTCATCTCTCCTCCCTCAATCCACTACAGTCTCACCAATCTATACCCAATCATTTTCTTTTTTTGTTTGTTTGTTTGGTTTTTTTTTTGGTTTTTCTCCGGTACCGGGAACCGAACTCATGACCTTGCGCTTGCCAGGCAGGTGCTTTTGCCGCTGAGCTAAATCCCCAGCCCCTATACCCAATCATTTTCTGATCTGATTCCAGATTCTGTTCCAAGTTAGAGCACAGGGAGGGTGCAGAGGCTCCTATTTTCCTTCTGAGCTCCCTTGGAGTAGCATAAAGTTAGAGTTACTGTGAATGCTACTGAGGGCCACGTCTTCCAAGGTGGTGGCTGACAGTCCCCTCTACCATCCTCCCAGAACTCTGGAACAAGGAGCTGTCACATTACCATTCATTTATCCCAGAGCTCAGATGCGTGGAGAACCAGGCTAGGCCATTGCGTGTCCACGCCCCTTGACGCTTGCCATGTGGCACAGCCATTATGGTCGTTTGCCAGTGGTCAGGCCTCGTTCTGACAAACTAGGAATTCTAGCCCTTCATGTTTCCCACTACTCAGTGTGTGACTGCAAGCCTTGCACCTGCATGCTGGAGGAAGGCTATAGTAAAGGAACACTAGCAAAGTATAAGGCTCCCGGAGAGATCTATGTGATCTGCAGAAAGTGACAGTGTTGCTCCATCCCATATGTGTCTGCAGGCATCAGTATAACCCAGGAGACACTTCGTTCCCTGTTCCCCATGGATTATTAACTGAATGTAATTTCACAGGATTCGTCAGGTCTCGCTCCATTTAAAACCAAAGAACCGTCCACTCGAATCGGGAAAATACAAGTAATTATAACAGAACCTTCATTGCCTGCCTTGTAGCATATAAAAACCTGTTTTGGAGTTTCACTTCTTCAACTGCTGAAGCGTTTTCTCATCTCTGCCCCTGCCCCCAGCATACCTTGCACCCGTTCTGGTCGTTGCTTCTGTGTGCCTTGTCTTTAACATCTTTTCTTGGTCCCAGTTGTGGGTACAGGTGTGTTATGCTCTAGTCTAATTCTGAGTCTGGTTCTGGCAGTTTTCCTACATTTCTCTTCTCTCATATTCTACATCGTAAGCACTGAATCTCATCATGTGTTGCAGAGATGATAATAGACTGCTGTACTTAACACAAATACCGACTTTCATTTTTCTTCCTCAGGCAAATTTAGCGATTAACCCTGCAGCCTTGTTGCCTGGAGCAGCTCCCCAGGTCTCAGGAGCAAAGCCTGTTTCTCCGGAATTGGCTGTTCCTTCTGTGGAACCTGGAAGGAGCCTTGGCGTGGACTGTCAGACTGCTCCTCCTGGCCCTGAGGAGGCCAGTGTGAGCTTCGATCTTCCTGCACAGACAGATACCTTACACAGCGTCAACAAGGTGATGCGGCCGCCTGTGCCTCCTTTGCTCTCAGCAGAGTGGCCTGGTTGCCTCTTCCTAATCCATCAGTTACACACAATAGTCCCGCTCTGATGGCAGGTTTGAAGGAGGCACCCTGTCCTTCATTAGGCCTCCCTCCGGTTGCTCTCCTCCTCCCCAGTTATGCTTTCTCCATCACCTGTTTTGTTCCATTTACGTTTTGCACAATAGCCACACTGAAGTTCCCTAGCCTCAGTCGGTGTCTGTCACTGTACCTCCTGACTTCATAGTAGAGCCCAGCTGAGCTCCAGCGTTTGCAGGGATCACCCCCTACTTGCAGTCACTTCTCGCCCCACACCCCAACCTGGTGCTGCCCGCTGGCAGTGTTTCCTCTGGGAACCCATGTCTCACAGCCTCACTTGGCCTCCCATGTCTGTGGCCTTGCCCTCCCTGCCTTGTGTCCTGGGCTCCCAGCTCCAAGATCCTGGGGCACTTTCCTCCCCTGCTGGGGAAGCTGTCACACTGCTTCATGGGCTGTGCTCGATGGACTCCAAACTCCTGCTCAGATTCCTTCCATGCTAATGTGTTTTCCTTTTTATACCCAATTATCTTTCTTTCCTAGAAAGTCTTAGCTGATCTCTGAGTTAGTGAAAGGATCTAGGATGACCTAACCCTGGTAGATACACTCAAGGGTTCCATATCTGTTTTCCTAGGCAAAATAGAACATTCTTCCTTTTGTTGATAATTTCTGTTATCTCTTTCGTTTGTTTCATTTAAATTCACTACTTCATAAAATTATTTAGAAAATTTCCTTGAGGTAGACAGACACAGACAAACAAGTACTTTGTTCAGAATAGGTTGTACCTTCTCAGAACTCAACTTGTGTATTTTGGAAAATACCACAAACACTAAATTATAATATGTTTAAAGTTATATTAAGGGTTCTGATTCCTGGGCCATAATTTTGCACTCAATACTTAGTGCTTGTTGAACAAAGCACTTGGGGTTACTTTTATTTCTTTTTTCACATTTCCCTGCCCCTGGAGCCTAAAAAATGTTGGTACCTGAGTTCCTCTGATATTTTCTTGTTCAGAAAGAATCTGATATTTGAATTGAGGGAGAGGAGGCACCAGGGAGTGTTGTGGGTCACAGAGCACTCACATGCCCACTCCTGGGGTTCCAGCAACCAGTGAAGCTTCTTGTTTGAAATTAAACTGAAACTCCCCTCAGAAAAACCCAAGAATGGAGAACATAAAGTATTAAAAAAAAAAAGTCTTGTCGTAGCAGGACCTATAAACTCCTCCTTTGAGAGATAAGTGGTGTGTCTAGAAGGTAGTACCTTGGCTGATGCAGGTCAGATGCCCATGCAGTATTTTGAGATGATGATTCTTGCTGTATTGGCTTTGAGCACTTTATCATCAAGTCTACATGTGTTGTTTTCCATATTGTAGAGCCGTGTTAAAGTGAGAGGGAAGCGCAGGCCGCAGACCCGCGCAGCCAGGCGGCTAGCTGCCCAAGAATCCAGCGAAGCTGAGGACACGAGTGTCCCTGGAGGCCCCGTCACACAGTTGGCAGATGGCACCATTAAGCCCAATGGCTGTCACCTTCATCCCAGAGTGGCCAGCATAGACCTCGGTTCTGAGGAGGCCGTAGCTGCTGCCATTCCACCTAGGGAAAGCCGTCTTGCACCCTTGATGGACAGGAGCCCCTTTGTGATGTCCCTGGGCCAGCCTGGGGACGAAGCTGACCTATTTGATTCCGAGGACATCTTTTCCAAGGGCACGAGATCACAGTCCACAGAGAGAGCAAAACCCAAGGTGAAGGCCACGGAGACCTCAGCCCACCCAGCTGAGGGCGGGCAAGAAAAGAGCTCCCTGTTTCCTGCTCTTGGTGAGGCCAGCAGCGATGATGATCTCTTTCAGTCCATTAAACCAAGACCAGCAAAGAAAACAAACCCCTTTCCCCTCCTGGATGATGATGACGATCTCTTTACTGATCAGAAAGGCAAAAAGAATGAGCCTAAGTCCAGCGATCAGCAGGATGATGTATCAAAAATACAGGATATTTTTGAGGTAACAGATTCCTTGGCTCATTTGAACTGGGGTTGTGTCCAGCTTGTTTTGTGCATGCCTGGTGTCTACGTGCCTATTCACACCTCTTACTAATAGCTCTACCTCTACTCAGAAGTGTTTTTCTGTTTCACGTAGGAGTACTTCTTGACCATAATAATCCTTGATACAGGTCTTGATGGGGGTGGGTGCTGGGATTGAACCCATAGCCTTCCAACCACAAGGCACGTGCGCCACCCCTGATGCACACCCCAGCCTTGGATCTTGGTTGCAGAGTTTGATTTATTTATAGACCTTTGTTGCCACCAGCTTCCTTGGCATGCCACTCTGCAGCATATGAGAAGTGTGCTGGTGTGGCTTTTGTGATGACCCTCTGATTCTGGGAAAATAGGCCTTGGCTGGAGCTGCTGATTTAGCAGAGGCCCAGGCACAATGGCCTTGGGTAACAGCTATTTGGCAGATGTTGAACATCTGGGTCCCAGGTACAAGGTCAACTAGGATGGGTGCTCTGCTCCCAGATCTCTCAGGGAGAGGAAGGAGACAAAAACAGGGCAGGGGGTGGTCAAGACATTCTCAGATAGCACTGAGTGCACTGAAAGCATGGCGAGGGGGTAAGGAGGGGAGGCTGGCATCTGAGCTACAGCAGGCCAAGCGCAGGTCTGAGCAGTGCCTTCTAGGCAGTAACAGATTATCTCTGGCAATGTGCATTTCTAGAACTTGTGAAAATTTTTTAGTAACAACAAATATATATATGTATATATATAAATTGTTGTGCTTTTTTTGCCTTAATAAGGATGATATATTTGCTACAGAAGCAATTAAACCTTCACAAAAAAAGAGAGAGAAGGAGAAAAACTTGGAACCCAGCTTACTTGATGATAACATTGATATATTTGCTGACCTAACCCTCAAACCAAAAGGAAAGTCCAAAAAGAAAGTGGAAGCTAAGTCTATCTTTGATGATGATATGGGTAAGTCTGGTTTTCTACCTTGGGCCTAGAGAATCGATAGTGCTCCATGCCTGGCCTTGCTGGACCCTTTCCTTCCTGGCCAGACCCTTACTTGCCATGTGAGCCTGAGTCAGGTGAGGCTGGATAAGTCCACTGGCTGGACACTCAGGTGAAGCAGCCTGTTGGCCTGGTGAGCGTTGAGGAATATGCAGGTGCGCAGAATTCAACTTAATCATGCTTAATTTAAGCACTAAACTTCTGTCTGGTGGTATACCATCTGTCACACAAGGTGATGTGGCAAAGGAGGATCTAAACACTGGTGCAGGCTGAGGCAGCAGCTTGGGGCCAGGAAGTTGTTAAGTCAGCTCCACCTGGAGAGTTAGGACCAGTGGTTTGGAGACTGAGGAGCAAAACATGGGGAGCAAGGCCATCATCTGGACTCTGTGTCTCCGTGGTTCTCTGTGTGCACAAGCTGCAAGCTCTGCTTCGCTAATGGGAAAGCCAGATATCCAATAGCCATAAAGACAGGGTTTCTGGTGGCCTCTGAGTAGACTTGGGCAGAGGCCAGGTGCACTCTTCCTACCGACTCCCTTCTCCCCCAAGTTAGCCCTGCAGGTTGGGCTGTTCCCCCAGCAAGCATGCACTATCCCTTGCTTCTCACCGCAGGGGTGCAAAGAAACTTCATGTCTCCCTTATTACCAGAAATGTAGTTACACATGCTTATGGTGATAGACGGGTAGAAAACATGAAAAGTGAAAAGGCACTGGAGGTAACAATTACTTGGTTTGGTGTATTTTCAGCCATGGTGATGTTAATATATATTTGTATACATGTATATACGTGTTGTTTTCAAAAATAAGAATAGACTTACCTATTCTGCTGTTTCTTTTAGTCAAATATCTGTCTCTGTCAGTACGTAGAGTTCTTGATTTTGGTGGTTACAAAGTACTGCAATGTATTTACACTGTGAACGGCAATCTAAGTTTTCTCTAATACAAACAGTGTCACGGCTTTTATGATTTGTGTACACTTGTCTTTACATACACATGCCAAAATCTTCGTCTGGCAGAATCCTAGCAGTAACATCACTACCCAGCAGTATAACCGAAACAGATTTTAGAGTCACTATGCAGATAAAGTCTTGAAGACTTCATTCTTTCCATGGTGCCTCAGGTCGATGTTTTTATTCTGAAAGACGGTGAGTCATGTGTTGGACTCCCTTCACATATTCTTTTTACCCTTTCGTTGTAAAATCCAGAATGAAAAGCAGGTAGAAATAAACCCATTGTCCCTTTAGAGATCCACTCAGGCTTCCCTTTCCCTGCACCTGCACATGCATAACATACATACCTTGTGGCTGAGGGAAAGGACAACTTGTATGTGATCATAAAACAGGAACTGAGTCAAGTCTAGGACTTGACCTTGACTTCTGTATTAGTGTTTTTGGTACCTTCCACTGTTACCAGAATTGAGTCTCTGGTGGTTCGTGTGGACGTGTCTTAAAAGTACCCATTTTCTTGCCTGTTAAACAACTCTCTTTTTTTCTTTTCAAAGATGATATTTTCTCCTCTGGTCTCCAGACTAAGACAACCAAACCAAAAAGCCGACCTGCACAGACAACAACTGAACCAAGATCAGAACACAAGGTGTCCAACATATTTGATGATCCCCTGAATGCTTTTGGAGGCCAGTAGAACTTGCAGCATAGTACCTTTGTTTCACCCTTCAGGTATATCCTGGAGTTAGAGATGTTGACATATGCGCTTGTTGTCAAAAGACAAATACTGAAACAGCTAGCTCACCTTTTATGCTGTGTACTTAGTATCTTTTTGCACTGATTGTAGTCAAGCTTATCTGCAAAACAAAAAAATAAATGTTTCACAGTGGTTGTTTCATTTTTTATTCACTAGGGCCACAGTAAAATTAGGGCATGTTACAGAAGAAATCTGCTTATAGCTTTCACAGCTGCCCACAGAATCCAGCAGAAGCAAATGCCACACAGATAAGGGGGATCTGTGTTAGTAAGTGGGATCCCTAGCTTAGGGTCTGGGTTGGGTTGGCATAGTAGAACTGGGTTGGGATTTTGAAAGAGAGAAGAGAGATTGTGCTTCATGAGTCTTCGCCTTCAAGAAAGAGTTTCCACTGAATTCCAAAGATACCTCCGTAAGTCCTCTAGGGAAACATTTTGCGAACAGTGACCCTCCATCTTCTGGCAGTGTAAGTAGTGTTCTTGGAACACAACCACACCCATTCTTTCGCATATTGTCTGCCTGCATTCAGTCCACAAACTGCCAGAGTTGAGAAGCTGGGGGAGTCATTGGGGTGGCCCACGGCACCTAACATGTTATTTTCTGCCACTGACAGAAACAGCTCCCTTAACTCAGAGGCACCCATTTCCATCCTTGCAGCTTTCTACTTCCCCCTGGAGGCTGCAGGGTTGATCCCAGGTCACAAAAGCAGGTGTGCTTAGGATGGACACGCTGTCTCGCTGAAAGCTGCACTGACAGACATGTCCTGTTCAGTGAACAGTGGATGCTAGCCACACGGAAGGATCACTCCATCCCAGCTGTGCTTTTCTGGGCTGTGCCATCATGCTGATGAGTATTCAGTCTAACCATGGAACTATCCTGTAGGCTACCTCCAATTTTGAGGCCACTAACTTCCTATGGCACATTAAGATTGGACTGGAAAGCTGAAATCCTAGCACTCTGAGAGGCTGATGCAGGAGGATTGTAAGTTTGAGCCCAACATGGTGAGACCCTGCCTTAAAATTAAAAAAAAAAAAAAAAAAAAGCAGCCTGGGATGTAGCACAGCATGAAGGCTCAAGATACAATCTCCAGTGCCCCCCCCCAAAAAAAAATTGGTGTGGTAGGTACCTGTATTAAGAGCCAAAGGTTTTGTACAGCTCTGGGGGCTCAACTGTATGTCCTCTGCTGGGAAATTAGACTCTGGTGGAAGGTGCTTCCTAGTCCCTTGCTTCTCCCAGGCATGTTTGTGTGTTGAGCTGCTTGTTCTGAAACTAGGTCCAGGGTCAAGTTCATCTTAAGTAAATGATTTGTTAAAATGGACCTTTTCTTTTGGATCAAGCAAATCTACTCAGTCATTAGTACTGATTCTAGGAGATTCAGGAGACAATAGTGTTAAAAATACACAAGCTGGTATTTTGAGAGGTTTGGAAAGGGACTGCATGGCACAGTTCCTATGGTGGTGCTCTTCATGCTACTCGTAGTTCTTGCTTTGTAGTTCAGGCTGGCCTCAAAGTCAGGCGATCAATCCTCCTGCCTCAGCCTCCAGAGTGCTGGGATTGCAGGTGTGCACCACATAACCGGCCTTCATTCTACCCTTGACTCAGCTTCCACAATCCACCAGCAAGGCAGTGGCCAAACTTCCCAGATGAGGCTGAAGTCTGGAACCGATAGTAGAGCTGGGTTGGGATTTTGTATTCTGCCCAAGATTCCAGTCTGGCTCTACCACTCAGGGACAGCTACCTGTATGCAGTGTTGTGCCTTCCTTTTACAACTGTGTATGAACCTTACAGGACTGTGAAGATGGTGAAGGGGAGAGAGGATGCAAAGACCCTTGTAAACTATCTGGCACTTGACCAATGGTGGTAGCTGGTGAACACGGTCAGAGACTGGAGGCCAAGACTTTAAGTTCATCTGCACGACTCCAAAGCCCAAGTTGGGATGTTCAGTTTTGTAGGCTGTACCCAGATGCTTCCAGGCTCTGAGCACCAAGGTGACAAATGAACCGCCTGACCGCGGGGTTCCCGGAGGACCCTGGCGGGCCTGGGCTCCTCCTGGGACGCTCTAGTCCTGTGGCAAGGAAGGCCCAGCATCACCGAGCCGGGATCAGGAGTGCGAGCCCGGGCCATGCACCCCGCTGCGCAGCCATCAGCGAACCAGATCCGGCCAGCGGCCCGAACTTCGACACAGCCCTCACCCACAAGTTTGGATGCCTTGGCGCGCCTTGCCGGCTCCCAGCCGCGCGTAGCTCCCACTTTCCGCGCAAGGTCACGGAGGAAGAGTGGTGGGGACAACGCGGCAGAGGTAAGGGTATGTGTGAGGCCCGCAGTGCTGGGTGTAGTAAGGCGCAGCAAGGCGCAGCGGGCCGGGACCCGCGGTGCCAAGCAGTCCGGGGCCGCGTTCTCCGTTGCTAGACTCCAAGACCACATCCGGGTCTCTCCAACCGACGCCCCATCAGGAGCCCGCGGCCCGGCGTCAGAGCAACCGCTGGCGTAGGGGGTCGGCCCCGCCCCGCCACGCTGATAGGAGAACTGCGCGAGCGCAGGCTCGCGATTGGTCGGCGCATCACAAAGGGGAGGTGCGCTCAGCGCGGTTTGCAGGCCAGATCGGCGTCCCGGTGAGTCTGCCGCGGCCGAAGGAGCGAGTTGACCGGCGCCCGGTGAGTGGGACCGGGCGGGCGTGCGAGTCGGGCGGGGCCTAGCGGCCCCACGCAGCCACACGCAGGCGTCGGCCCTCGGGGCGGGGGCGCGGGGCCGCTTTCGCGCGCTGCTCTCCTGGCGGGCGGGTGACGGCGACAGCAGGTGTGTGCGGATGGTCCAGTGGCTGACGAGCAACGGGAGTGTGCGGGTAGGCGGAGCGGGTGACGACGAGTGACAGGCATGTGTGCTAGCCGAGCGGCCCGGAGGCCCTCCCTGAGAGTTGTCCCTGTCCCCTTGCGGCGCACTGCAGGCTGAGGGTAGGCACAGAAGCAGTGTGGTGGATGGACTCGGGAAATGCGCTTTGGAAACGTGAGGGTGTTTCCGTGTCAGTAGAGGAACACTGTGTCAGCTCCTTCAGGAGTGCATTGCGGCGTGGCATCTGTGTGTTGGTGAACAGTGTGCAAGGTGAGTGCCCTGAGGGAGTTAGACTTCTTTAGGACGAAGCACATTCAAACTTAGCGAAATTGCTGACTCAGCGCTATTATTGTCTACTTACCTAATTTTCCTTTCATCTTTGGTGGTGGTTTTCAGAACTTGCAGAAAAGATAGATATTTTAATAATTAATTTGGAATTGTTCTTTAATGTCATTACATTAAATAGCTAACTATGTTCTTTTTTTATTATTTGTGAGAATTCTGGAGACATTTACTTGCCTTTATTCCTTTTTGCCTATTTTTTGTAACAAAGTTTTTTTTTTTTGATTGTTCTTAGTTTTTGTTCTGTTTTGTTTTGTTTTTGTGACAGAGTTTTGCTCTGTAATTCAGTCTGGTCATAAACTCACTGTATTTTGTTTTTGGGTTTTGTTTTTGTTTTTTGCTTGAGACAAGGTCTTGCTATGTAGTCCAGGCTAGCCTTGAACTCCCTAAGTAACCAAGGGTGGCTTCCAACTCATCACAGTCCTCCTGCTTCAGCCTCTGCAGTGCTGGGTTTACAGGCATGCACCACCATGCCCACTTATTTTTAGCAATTTTTGTATCATCTTGCCTCCCATCTTTGAGTCTTCACTGCCCCCTTCATTTTCCACCTCTAATAGATTCAACCAGACGTGACTGCATGCCACTTTAAGAAGCCTTTAGTACTGGCTAGGTCTCTGGCCACTTGGGACTTGCATTGGGTCATTTGGTCCTCCAAACTGGTTTGACCAGATACATGGCCTCATTTCATCCTCTATTACAGTGATCTTTACTGATGGGAAGTGTATTTTTTTCTAGAGACCAACATTTTCAGTTTCAGTTCCTTAGCTCTGCATTATGGAAATTACTCTGTAAGGGCAAAATCATAGAATAGCAAATTTATAGACATTTTATAGCAAAAGTTACAAATCAATTAATAGAAGAAAGATCCAGATAAAGTAGCTGTGAAAGGGATATGGGAAAAAGAGGGAGAGAGAGAGAGAGAGAGAGAGAGTCCAGAGGCCTTGGGTGACAGGAACTCATAAGTCCTCTGGCCCAAGTGGACAAGGTTCAGGCTGGGGCAGTGTTCTCTTTTCCAATACAATTTTATTTTTATGAACACAAAAAAATCAATTAATAGACTGTGACTATGCTCATGCTGCCTGTCACATGGTTAGGCTGCTGGGTTCAGTTGATCTTGACTGTCTGCGTCCAGTTGCTTCTTCCACATAGCCGGCCAAGTCAGCTTGACCACATCCAGCTGCAGTGTCTGTGTTTTTCTATTTAAAATATGTACATATGTAGCTTTGTTTCAGCTTGCTTCAAGAACTCTGTATTTTGTGCCCAGAACACACTGCCCCAATCAAGGACACTTTTAACTCTACCCACTCTTCTCAGACCCCTTCCCTCCCAGAGTGCTACTGTCTAATGATAAACAATTCCTTTTAAGTAAACCTGTTTAAAACAACTCTGCGTGATAATATATGACATAATTCTTGTATTTCATGTGACCAATCGTGTAATAACCTGCTATCAGCTTTGTACTTCCCGCTTGCAAACTGTATTCAAACTGAACTCAGACCTGACTGGGTTGATGATTTGAAACTGGTTCCCATCAGCCCACTAGCATAATAAAAGTTATCTTGTAACTCCTCAGTGCAGAGAGTCTTCCATTTGTTTTGACATTGGTTGTTCTGCAACAACTCCATTGGTATATAGAAAAACATAGGTAAGAAGACATAGGTAAGAAGGCCCAGACTGAGGTCAGAAGGCCCAGCACAGTTAATACTGTTTGTACTGGTTAATACTGTTTATACTGCGGTCATGATTTTCCTTCCAGTCTAAGGTCATTTTATCAAACCTAGATGAAGGACTTCCAAGTCTATTACACTCTGCCTTGCCCATGTGTTTATTGTTTTCAGGGTATTGCTGAAAATCACTGTGGTAAATAAAACGTTCCTTATATCCTTGGTCTCCTAATTCTTTGGGTAGGCACTAGTCATTTATGCCTTTCCTCCTACAATGTTCATTTTAGCATTCTTGACACCTGCCTTCTGTTTGTATAGCTGCTTCTTTATAGGTAGGAGTACTGTTGGCCTTGGGGAAGTAGACTCATTTGATATATCTTAACATACTATGTTTTTACCTACATTAAAATCATTTTAAAACCAGTTATCTCTGGTTCAACATATACAAGACAATAAATGTAATACACCACATAGATAGAACCAAGAATAAAAATTGTGATAATCATCACAATTTATTCAGAAAAATAAACTTTGTCAAAATTCAGTATCTTTTCATGATAAAATCCCTGAAAAAACTAGGTACTGAAGGATCAGACCTCAGTATACAATATTAAAGACTAATTAAGACAAATCTCCAAATAACATTCTGAATGAGGGAAAAAACTGAAAGCATTTCCTCTGAAATCAGGAATAAGGCAAGGATCTCCACTATCCCCACTCCTATTCAATATAGTACTTGAAATTTTAGTTAGAGCAACTAGGAAGAGAAAGAAATTTATATAGGAAAAGAAGATTCGATGCTATCCTTATTTAAAGATGATACGGTCCTATATTAGAAGACCCTAAAGACTCCACTAAAAGAGTTTACAGCTGATAAATTCATCAAAGTAGCAGGATACAAGATCAATATTAAAAATCAGTTTTTCTATATGCCAATAATAAACTAGCAGTGAAAGAAATCATGAAAATAATTCCATTCACAATACCAACAAAATAGAACAAAACAAAAACAAGGAATCACAATCAAACCAAGAAAGTGAAAGACCTCTACAATGAAAAATTGTAGCACTCTGAAGAAAGAAATTTAAGGAAACATTAGAGACTGAACAATCTCCTTGTTCATGGATTGGCAAAATTGATTTTGTTGAAGGAGCCATATTACCAAAAGCAATCTCCAAATTCAAGCAGTCTCCATCAAAATTCCAATGATGTTCCTAACAGAGCTAGGAAGAAAAAAAAAATCCTAAATTTCAAAAGTTTAAAAGCCCTAGAATAGCTAAAGCCCTGGAATAGCTAAAGCACTCCTAAGCAAAAGAGCAAGCCTAGAGACATCATAATACATTATTTCAAATTGTATCACAAAGGCCTGGTAACAGAAACAGCACAAAAATAGACATATAGAATGGAAGATACAGAAACAATTTCACACAACTACAGCTATCTTGATTCTTTTTGTTTATTTTGTTTTTGAGATTAGGTCTCACTCTGTAATTCAGGGTGGCCTCAAACAGCAGTCGTCCTGCCTCAGCCTGCAGAGTGTTGGAAATGCAGGTTGTGCCACCATGCCCAGCAAGCCATCTGATTCTTGAAAAAGGAGCCAAAAACATATATTGGAGGAAAGAGCCTACTCAACAAATATTGTGAGGAAAACTAAATCCCCAACTCTCACCCTTTACAAAAGTCAGTTCAGAATGAATCAGAGACCTAGGTATAAGACCAGAAACTTTAAAACTGCTAGAAGAAAGTAGGGGAATAAGTGAAGCCATAGGCTTGGGCAATGACTTCCTGAATAAAACTCTCGTAGCACAGGAAATAATAGTAAGAATCAACAAATGAGACTACATCAAAGTAAAAGTCTGCATAGAAAGGGAACCAGCCACTGGGCGTAGTGGTACAAGCCTGTAATCCCAGCACTCAGGAGGCTGAGGCAGGAGGATCAATGTGAATTCAAGGCCAGCCTGAATGACACAGTGAGACCCTATCTCAAAAAAAAAAAAAAAAAACAGAAACCAACATGGTGAAAAACATCACCCAAATAGTGGGAGAACATCTTTGCCAACTACTCTGACAGAGGATTAGTATCTGTAATATATAAAGAACTCAGAAAACCAAAAAATCAAAACTCCTGTCAATAAGTGGGCAAAGGAGTTGAACAGGCACTTCTTGAAGAAGTGCATATGGCCAATAAGTACAAGAAAAAAAATTCCACATCTTCAGCTATTAGGGAAATGCAAATTGAGACTACATTGAGATTCCGTCTCATCCTCATCAGAATGACTGTTATCAGTACAAAGTACCATAAATGTTGGCAAAGGTACAGGTAGAAGAGGAACCCTTCTGCACTGCTGGTCGAAATGTAAATTAGTACAGCCACTCTGTACTAATGTAAATTAGTACAGCCACTATGGGAATCAGTATGGAGGTTTGTCAAAAGACTAAAAATGTAACTACATCCCCAGCCCCTAGCTATACTATTTCTTGGTACACACCCAAGGGAATTAAAGTCAGCATACTATAGGAATATCTGCATACCCGTGTTCGTGCAGCACAATTCACAGTAGTTCAGATATGGAACCAGTCCAGGTATCCATCAACAGATGAAGGGATAAAAAAAACATGGCCTATATACACAGCAGTTTTATTCACCCATAAAGAGAAACAAAATTATGTCATTTACAGGAAAATGGATGATACTGGAGATCATCATATCAAGCAAAGTAAACCAGACTCAGATAAGTATCACTATTTTCCTAATATGTGGAATCTGAAAAAGGCATTTTGAAAGTAGAAGGAGACTACTGTTAGACAAGAGGAAGGGAATGATGGGGAAGCAGAAGAGTATAAGTGAGAGCAGTGGGGCATGGATATGATCAAGATAGATTATATGTATACATAAAAATACCATGGAAAACTTAACATTTTGTAAAATTATAAACACTAATAAAATACAGATTTTAAAATCCAGTTATTGGGGCCGGGGATGTAGCTCAGCAGCATAAGCACTTGCCTGACAAGCCTGAGGTCATGAGTTCAATTTCTGGTACCAAAAAAAAAAAAAAAACCAGTTGTTTCCATGAGAGGGAGAAGAGGGAGCAGGACTATGGAGCTGCCTCTCACTATAAATCACTTCTTTCACTTCTATGTTTATGTGTATGTGTAGCTAGGAATCTATAGGCACTTTTCCACATTGAATACATGCCCATCCCATATTTCATCATAAAAGATATAAGAACATGTAATAAAACCTGAGCAACATGGCTCTTT